AGAAGAAGAAGAAGAAGAAGAAGAAGAAGAAGAAGAAGAAGAAGAAGAAGAAGAAGAAGAAGACAAACAAACAAATGAATGAACAAATGAATGAATGAATGAATTTATAAAGCTGTCAAGCATAAACTTCAGTTGCTGATGTTATAGTCTTGAATTACAAAAACAATCTGAAAGCAAGATTCCTCCTGGTTGGGAGACTTTAGTCTTAAGAACCTTCAACTGATTGAACTTCTTGAGACCCTGATCTGGCTGCTAATTGCATCTTAAAAATACCTTCACATGATTGTCAAGACTGATATTGAATGGAAAACTATGTACCTAGTCTAGAAAGTTCACATAAAACCATTGAACATTCTAGAATATGTGTGGTGATTTGAATAAGAATGGCTCAAATATTTGAATGATTAGTCATCAGGGAATAGCACTATTTGAAAGGATTAGAAGGGTTAAAAAGAGTGGCCTTGTTGGAGAAAGTGTGTTACTAGGGGTGGGCTTTGAGGTTTCAAAAGCCCATGACAACCCCAGTCCCCTGTCTTCTCTCTCTGTGTCTCTCTCTCTTTATCTGCTTGTGGACCAGGATGTAGCTCTCAGCTGCTTCTCCAGCACCAAGCCTACCCATTGCCATTCTTTCTGTCATGATGATAATGGACTAACCTCTGACACTGTAAGCCAGCCCCCAATTAAATGTTTTCTTTTATAAGAGTTGCCTTGGTCATGGTGGTTCTTCAACAGAACAGTGACTAAGACAGAAGTTGGTACCAGGGAGCAGGGTATTGCTGTGACAGGCCTGACCATACTGCTTATTGATGGAATGTGGAATTTGGGACTTTGTATTAGGAAAATATTTGAGTGTTTTAAGCAGGATTTTATGGGCCACACCAGCAAGAATATAGACAGTGGTGTTGAGAGCAATGTAGATTATGATTATCCTGCTAAGAGGTTTCAGAGGAGAAGAATATTAGTACGTGGCCTAGAGACCATTCTTATGATATTTTGGTGAAGTATGTAGCTGCTTTCTGTTCTTGTCCAAAAAATATGCCATGCCTGAGGCTAAATTGGTGAGTTTTTGATTTCTGGTATCTTCAGAGGAGATTTCGAGACAGCTCAGTATTGTTTTTTTGTCTTTTGGCTATTAGTGCTCACTCTTATGCAGATCTATAATGAAAAGGAGCAATCTGATCAAGGAAAAAAATAAAATTGTACAGTTTGAGGAGAACCAGGAAGTGTAATGGAGCTAAGTCCAGGGTTCAAGGAGATAAAAAGTTTAAAGAAAATCCTGGTGGAGTAAAAGAAAATGGTGGTGTCAGGGCAAGACTTCACCCAGCTAAGCTTCCAACTTATGAAAAGAAATTAAAGAGAAGCTTTAGCAGTGAGGGAAACCATTAGCAGCAGCTGATGCGGAAGCACGTGAAAGAGGGGAGCATGTTCCAGCCCCACCAAGCAGCAGAACGTGGCCGCTTTCAGCCGCATGGGTCTGCCTTTAGCATTGAGAATACAGGAAAGGTATTGTGAGATGGTCTCTCCATGCCTCAGGAAAGCAGCTGAGGACTGGCGTGTGTCAGGGGTGACCCTGCATAGAGGCCTCGAGAGGTCATTGTGTGGCACTGTGGAATACAGGATGCCTGCCAAGGAAAGCTGAGACTGGGTGTGGAACCAGCCTAAAGGAGAGAACTGTTGCATGAACAAAGCTGAAAGGAAGCGGTGAGCTGGAGAACACTTTCCTATCAGACATGGAGAACAGAGTACGGGGTTTGCATTGCTGGTTTTAGGTCTTGCTGTGGTCCAGCATTTCCTCACTGTGCTCCTTCTCTTCCCTTTTGGCATGGTAATGTACGTTCTGTGCCATTGTACATTGGAAGTATGTGATCTGCTTTTCTAATTCTGATTACTCTAGGGCAACAGTTAATAGACTGCTGTGAGTCTCAGAAGAGACTTCAAACTTTGGACTTTTACACAGTGTTGAGACTGTGACAGACTATGGGGACTGAATGCATTCTGCATTATGATATGGCTGCAACCCTATGAGGGCCAGGGGATGGAATGTGGTGGTTTGAATAAGAACGGCCCATAGGCTCAGGTATTTGAATGCTTAGTCATCAGGGAGTGGCACTGTTTGAAAGCATTAAAAGGCTTAGGAAGCCTGGAGGAAGTGTGTAACTGAGGGGGGTTTTGAGGTTTTAACAGTCCATGCCAGGCCCAGTCTTTCTCTTTGCTTGTGGTCAGGATGTAGCTCTCAGCTACTTCCCCAGCACCTGCCATCAGGCTCCCTGCTACGATGATAATGGACTAAGCCTCTGAAAGCATCAGCAGGCCTCCGTCCAAATGCTTTTTTTAAATGAGAGTTGCCTTGGTCATCACGTCTCTTCAGCAATAGAAGAATGTCTACAGCAATACGTAACTCCAAAAGCAGATTATTAGTTATCAAAATCACTTAGTAAGGAGCCAAAGGAGATAAACTACTTAGACCTGAGGGAAAATACAGAATGCTCACCATATGGAACGTGCATAAGCTCCAGGACACTCCCAGTGTCTCGCCTTGGTTTTCTCACAGGCAAACTGAGGTTAGTGGTGAGGCCTGGCGACCACGTGCGGGGGGATGGGTTAAGCAGGCTGTCCAGTGCTGACCACTCACCTGTGCCTCTTGTTGTATTACTTGGCTTGTGTTATGCTTAATTTTAACAACCATCATAGTGTCTGCAGCTGGTAAAAAGGTGCCAAAGACACTTCACGCTAGTTCTGTCATGACCTGAGCAAGCCCCAGTCTACTTGCCCTGGGCTCTGTTAGGAACTGCGCAGAAACGGGCGGGTCATTTCCGAGCTGCTTTCATCGGCCTCACGTTCACTCTACTTTCCACCTTGTATGTGGCATACGAACAGGGAAAAGGTGCTTTAAACTACCCACAACAGTGGGAAGGATGTCGGGAACCCTTGTCTGTGTCTCCCAGGCTGGAATCTAAGCTCTGCAGAGGGAGGCAACTGTGGGGTATCTCAGAGCCTGGCAGCCCTCTGTCACTTGCTGAGTGGTTATACTGCAGGCTGGCCCAAAGGTACAGTAACAGCAGGCAGTTTGTTTTCTAGTGCAACAACCGTGCTCAGTCTCTTTTCTCTCTCTCTTATATGATTTATTTTTTCATGCACAGGGCATGTGATTCCTTTCTCACTCATCTGCCCTGTGCTGGAGAGTTCGCTGTGGCCAGCTCTGCCCAGGGGCAGGACACACACAGCACTCTGTCCTTGGTGGCTGATCTTTTCTCCCACCTCTTCTCTCCCGTTTTTCTGGCCTCTCCCGCCAGACTCATGCCTGCCCTCCTCCACCCCACCGAGCTCCCTGTTGCCAGTGGAGGCCTCCTAGGAAATAGCATCACGCTCGGAGGGACTTAACCAATGGAATCAAGCACTCCTCGCAGAGATGTGGGCTGGGTTCAGGGCACGAAGCAGGCATGTTGGTGGGAGGACAGGAGGCCACGTGTGCCCTAAGCAGAGACACTAGCACTGAAGAAACAAAAGGACAGGAACTGCCCCACAGCAAACGCTCCAGCTCGCTCTCTCCTTCTCTCCCTGCCCCGCCCTCTCGGCCAAATCTCTGGCCAGAGGCCAGGACAGCAGAGGGGCAGCATTGCTCGCCAGTTTCACGGTGGCTCCCGGCTAGAATGTGCACCTCTCAGTTCCAAGCCTGGGTGGCTGTGAGTTCATGTAAAGTGTGCATACATGTGTGAGGGTACGAGTGAGTGAACAGGGTGCGTGTATGCGGGTGAGTGTCCACGAATGTGTAAGAGTGTGCGTGAGTGTGAGTGAACAGTGCGTGTATGCGTGTGAGTGTCCACGAATGTGTGTAAGGGTGTGAGTATATGTGTATGGCGGTGTTTATATGACTGTGTGAGCATGCGTGAACGTGCCTGTGCGTGCACATGTGTGTGGCGGCAGGGGGGTGGGTAGGTCCGATCTCTGTAAATCAGGCCTTCTAAATAATTAATCCTCGTTCCCTGCGCCTGTGAGTCCTCGGAAACCGCTCCTCAGGCCAGATTAGCGCGCTGAGCCTTCCTCCCTCGCCCCATTTCATTCCGGCCGGATGGGAGGCGCGCAGAGGCCGGGGCTCTGCCGTCCCGAGTCCCCGCGCAGACTCTGCAACACCTCTGCTTTGTGTTTCCACAGCCGACCTCAGAGGCAGAGACGAGGGGCACACGACGATGCTCACAAGCAAGGCAGGTACGGCCTCCGAGGAGGGCGAGGGCAGTGACCCCAGCCTCCCCCCCGGGGCCCGGGCGCTGGCGTGCCCGGCCCTGCCCAGCTCTCCCCGCGGGCCCCCGCCCTCACACTGCACATCCACGCTCACAGCGGTGCTTGTGAACTCAGGGCCCGGCTCTCGCCTGACAGCGTGAGGCAGCCAGGCTCGGAAGAGAGGAGGAAGCCCGCTCTCCCGACCTCGTGGTCCTTTCCGAGAAGACAGGGAGGCTGAGAGCCGGGCGGTAGTGAGGAGGAGGAGGAGGAGGAGGAGGAGGAGGAGGGCGGCACCTGAGCCAGGCAGGGAGGGCAGGGCGGCGGAGCGCCCCAGCATCACAGGGGAGTGGGCCTGACTGGTCACTTGGGAGGATCCCCTAGACCTTTCTAGAACAGACCTTGCGCTCTTGGGTAGGGAAGGATTTCGGGTGCCGCTCACGGTAGGGACAGAGGACCCTACTTAGGTGTAGGCTGTGGGAGGACTGGTCAGAAGGGGAGCTCCGCAGTGGAATAGGGGACAAGGGGGACGCCCACGTGTGAAAATCCAGGGCATATGTTAAATGAGGGAGAAGAACGACAAAGAAGCGTGTGTAGGACATTAACTGTGTAAGGAGGGAGAATAACACTGTATTTTGGTACTTTTGTATTTTTATAACAAAGTCTCGGCAGATGGACAAGGAACCGGTAAGACAACTATATGTAGATGAGGGTAGGTCAGTTGAATCCACTGCATGTTTAATTAATTTTTTTTTTTTTTTTTATGAGTATGGTGTTTTGCATGTAGTGCCCGGGGTGGCCGGAAGAGGGCGTCAGGTCCTCTGGGCAGGAGTCACATTTGTGAGCTGTGGAGTGGCTGCTGGGAACAGCATCAGGGTCTTGGGAAGAGCAGCCGGTCCCCTGTACCGCTGAGCCATTTCTCCAGCCCCTACCTGCACCAAACAGAAAGGAAGGGAGAGAGGGGGATAATCAAGATGTCAGAGGCAGGGTCTGGATTTGGGGAGCCCTTCTATGTGGCTGGGAGCCCCGATCGTAGAACTCCCAGGACAGTTTCTTTATCCAGAAAAGGGTAACGAAGGGCAGGGCAGAAGGAGGCAGAGCGGCTGTAAGAGGAAACAGTACCCTGCAAACCCGCCAAGAACAAGCAGCAGGCAGAGGCTTTGGGCAGCAGTGACCCCCTGCTTTCCCTCTGTGGCAGCCCGATTCTGAAACGAAGCTCCGACATCACCAAGTCGCCTCTCACCAAGTCCGAACAGCTGCTGCGGATAGACGACCACGACTTCAGCATGAGGCCTGGCTTTGGAGGTATGAGACATGCTCCCGGAGGGGGTTCCTCGTCTTCCCAGGGGTTCTTTGTCTGTGCACCCAGATCCGCTTGTCTCTGCCTCGCTGGGCCCAGCACCCTCTGAGCATCTGCCCTTCCTGCCCTGGCTCTGCCGAGTACCTGCTGGTGTGTGGTCAGGCAAGGCCGCTGTCCCAGGCTAGTGCAGTGAGAGAGCCCATTGAGTGTCAGTGAGTCACAGGCTGCCTCCAGAGCAGGGCAGGTGCAGGCCAGAGGACAACCTGTGGAAGCTGGTTCTCTCCACCACGCCAGCTCTGGGAATCCAGCTCCAGTCTTCAGGTTTGGCAGTCAGCAGCCTCACCTGAGCCATTGCGCTGGGCAGGGTTTGGTTTCTTTCCGGGGAAAATCTTTTTTATGGCTGTGTGCGTGAGTATGTGTTCATGTGTTCATGTGTTTCTGAAAACACGTCTGTAGGTGTGGGTGTACATGCCTGCAGAGACCAGAGGAAAATCTGCTGTGCCATGCTCAGGAATGCTGTCTACCTGCTTTGAGACAGCCTCTCACTGTCCTGAAGCTAAGCAATTAGGCTAGACTCCTGGCCAGAGGGCCCCGGGAACCCTGCCTCTGCCTCCCCATCCACCACAGCCAGGCTCAAACCCAGGCCTTCATGCTGCCAAGGCCTGCTGTGCTTGCTGACCGAGCCGTCCCTCCAGCCCCGGAAATCACCTTCATGTCTTTCTCTTTTTTTCTAATCACGTTTGCCTCCACCCCAACTGCCTCCAAACCAATCCCCCAAGTTCTAGAAAGGTCTTTCTTCTCTTTGTCATATGGAGCTATTGGACCCAGTCCTACGTCTTCATAACTACAGCACATCCTAGCCCTAATGCACACCCTACAAGCAATCTCTCTCTCTCTCTCTCTTATTCTCTGTCAACACTCAGTTTAAACGGCCTGGAAATGAGGACAGAAATGTAATGTTTGATTTAAGACCATTTTGGCATGTCTTCCTGGAAGCGTCACCATGTCACAAAGGTAGAGATGAGCGGGAGGACAAATGACTGAGGAAGGCTCGTGTCTCCAAGAGGGCAGGGTGAAAATGAAGACAGTTCAGCAGACCATTTCATGCTAAGGTGCATGCAGGCTGCTCCTTAGATCAGACCCTGACTCCAGCTAGGCCTTCACCACAGCTTCAAATGAGCATATGGAACCAGAAAGGAATGGTCTCTATTAGCCTCATTGTTCTGGGCCTGGAAAGATAGCTTAGTGGTTAAGGACACTGGCTGCTCTTTAGAGGACACCGGTTGGATTCCCAGAGCCACAGGAAAGCTCATGATGGTCTCTACATCACTCCAGTCTTAGGAGATCAGATGCGCTTTAACACTCTTAGCTTTAACAGACACCAGGCATACCTGCAGGAAAACACTTATACACATAAAACAATTCAACCGCACCATTCCGCAAAGGACAAAGCACTTTTATTACTAAGTTTTTGGGGGTTAGGATAGTCCAAGGAGCCAACCCATGAGCCTGTTTTTTTACTTCTTCTTTGACTGCAGGTGGGCATGGCCAAAACCTTCAAATGTTTGCCACGACTGACACGCCTTTGCCTGCCTCTTCTGTAGTAAAAGTTCAGCTGGGTGTGATGCACACTCCTGTACTCCCAGCAAGAGGATTGAGCATTTGAGATCAGCCTGGGCTACATAGCTAGGCACCGTCACAGGGGCTTGCAGTAACCGACAATCAGGGTGCCCGCATGGGTCTGAGCTAGGACTTCCGCATCAACGTTAGCGGTTGTGTAGCTTGGTCTTCTGGTGAGACCCCTAATGGGAACAGGAGCCCTCTGACTCTTGTCTGCTTTTTGGACCCTTTTCCTCTGACTGTGTTGCTTCAACCAGCCTTAGTATGAGGGGAGGTGCCTAGCCTTGTCTTAGCTTGATACGCCATGTTTGGCTGACATCCTTGGGAGACCTGCCCTGTTCTTAAGGGAAATGGAGGAGGAGTGGATGGGTAGGGGAGGTGTTGGGGAGGGACTGGGAGGAGAGGTGGGAGGGAAACTGGTCAGGATGTAATATATGAGAGAATACTTTTTTAAAAAGAAAGAAAAGAGAAAGAAAGAAAGAAAGAAAGAAAGAAAGAAAGAAAGAAAGAAAGAAAGAAAGAAAGAAAGAAAGAAAGAAAGAAAGAGGAAGGAAGGAAGAAAGAGGGAAAGCCACTGAGGGTAGGAGGGAGGGAAGGGGGGAAAGAAAGAGCAGAGAGAATGAGTGAGTGCTTCTGTCATGCCCTCCGCAGGCCCGGCCATCCCCGTGGGTGTGGACGTGCAAGTGGAGAGCCTGGACAGCATCTCCGAGGTGGACATGGTGAGTGCTTCTCTGGCCAGGGCTCTGGGCCTTGGGGAGGCTCACATGGACCTGTCTGGGCATCCCTGAATTCCATCATAACTCCTTGGCGGGCGTGTGTGTGCGCGTGTGCCCACACTCACTTTACACATGTCATTTGTGGGGAGTTCCCAGCTGGCGTGAGATAGAGTCAGGTGACAAACTTGGTCTTCTTGGGTTTGAGACCAGCCTGGTCTATTATAGAGGAAGCTCCATACCAGCCTGGGCTACCTTCACAGTGATGCCCCATCTCAAAAACTAAAAAGGTAGCAGGGTGGGGGTGGGGCGCACTCTACAAGTTGGACTTTTTAAAACTCTGCCTTGGCTTGGAGTCTCCAAGAAGCGGGCCAGTGTGTACCTGGGGACTGCTCCCAGAAACCGCAGTGAGACAGGAAGCAAGCCCTCCCCACCCCACCCCACCTCCGCAGTGTTCTTACGCAAGCCTCTCCAGGACGCGGTGAAGAACAGGGCTCGGGTCAGCCCAAGAGCTGGCACTTTCAGCTGGAGTCACCGGAGTCCGGGATGGGGGTGGGAGGGAACGCTGTGGGTCTGGGTGGGTGAAGTTCAGAGACAGTCTGTTCTGGGCGTCCTGTTGGTCGTCCGTTTAAAAATCGGAACCCACCGAAAAGCAAAAACGAATACTCCGGCCTTTCCTTCTCCAACGAGCCCACTTGGCTCCGTTTGGTTCCGCGCTGGTGACGGCTCCACAGTGGGTGGTATCTGTATCTCTGTCTGTCTCCCGCCTGCAGGACTTCACCATGACCCTCTACCTGAGGCATTACTGGAAGGACGAGAGGCTGTCCTTTCCCAGCACCAACAACCTCAGCATGACGTTTGATGGCCGCCTCGTAAAGAAGATCTGGGTCCCCGACATGTTCTTCGTGCACTCCAAACGCTCCTTCATCCACGACACCACCACAGACAACGTCATGCTACGGGTACAGCCCGACGGGAAAGTGCTGTACAGCCTCAGGTGGGGCGAAGGCAGGCGACTCCACGGGGCCCTGTCTGAATATTTTAATTTTAAGTTTCCTTTAATTAACTAAAAATTTAAAAATTCTGTATTACGTGTATGAGTGTTTTGGTTGCCAGCGAAAGTCAGAAGATCCCCTAGGCCTGTTGTGAGCCACCATGTGGGCTCTGGGAATCAAGCTCATGTCCTCTGCAAGAGCAGTCAGTGCTTTTAACAGCTGAGCCATCTCTGCAGCCTGAAAGTGTGCCTAATTTAAAAAAAAGTTTATTTTTCTAGTAAGAGGCAGGGAAATAAAAAAGAAACATGTTCTCCTAGATGCAGGCACATGCCTTCTTCTCTCTGATTCCAGTGTTTGGGGTATTTTTTTTTAACTTAAGTTTAAATATATTCTGCCCCCTTGCCTGGCCAACGTCGTGTCCGCCCTGAGGCAGCGTGGGCTCTGGACTTCCCAACAACACTGTGGTCTGAGCACCACTTCTGCAATGTCAGGGGTAAAATCTAGGGCTGGGGTGTGTAACCGAGGCCCTGGGTCCCGCTAGCACTGTGGAAAGAAGAACAATTAAAAAAATAATAAGGAAGGGGGGAGGGAGGGCGAGAAAGACTGAGAGAAGGAGAGAGGAAAGGAGGGAGGTAAGTCTCCAATCTCTGCTGGGCCTGGATGCCTGGGGGTGTTTAGCTGCTATGGACTCTGCCCTGTCAAATGCCTCTGTGCAAGGACAGCTTTAGAAGTTGGTGGCCTCACCTCCCTGTGGTGGAACAAGCTCAGATTCTCACAGAAGGGGGTGTCACTGACTGGGATTGGCTCCCGTTGACATATTTTGCTCTGGGATGATGTGTTGAAAGAAGCAGCAAAGACAAACCCACACACTAAAGTTAAAGTTGAATTCCAATCCCAGTTCCCAGGGAGATCTGTAACAATCTCTCGGCCCCCATCATATCTTGGGTCTAAGCACATAGACCCAAGTAGGTGTGGGGTTTTCATCTCTTTATTTGGAAGCCCTTCTCCTGTATGAGATCCTCGGAGAGGTGCTGGGCCTTTAGTGCCTTTCTTAGCAATATCAGACTGGTTCTCTCTGGAATCTTCATTTCTGAGGATCTTACGATTCTCCATTTCAAGAGAAAATTCTCTAAAAAATCAGCACAGCCTGTCTTAGTTAGGCCTTTTATTTCTGTGGAGAGACACCACAACCACTGCAATTCTTTTAAAGGAAAACATTTAATCGGGGTTAGCTTACAGTTTGGAGGTTTAGTCCATTATCGTCATGGCAGGAAACATGGCAGCCTGCAGGCAGACACGGTGCTGGAGAAGGAGCTGAGAGTTCTACACTGGATCAGCAGGCAGCAGGAAGGTCTGGCCTGAGCATCTGAAACCTCAAAGCCGACCCCAGTGCCATGCTTCCTCCAACAAGTCCACACCTCCAATAGCTCTACTCCCTACAAGGCTGTGAGGGCCATTTCCCTTCAAACCATTCTATTTCCTGGCCCGTACAGGCTTGCAACCATATCCTAGCGCATAAATCCACTTACTCCAACTCCAAAATCCCCATTTATCGTCTATCACTGTCTCAACTCTGCTTAAAGGTCCAAAGTCTCTTCTGAGACTCATGCAGTCTCAACCGTTGTACCCTGTAAAATCAAAATGAAAGAGCAGGTCACATACTTGCAGCATACAATGGCACAGAACATACATTACGATTCCAAAAGGATAGTGAGAAAATACTGGACCGAAGCAAGACCGAAACCATCTGTTCAAACTCCAAAGTCTGAATCTCCAACTCTGACGTCAAAGAAGTGTCAGATCTCCAACTCTTTCAGCTTGTTGGCTTCAGCACACTCCTCTGTCTCTTGGGCTGGCTCCACTTCCTGTCGGCAGGTACCCTGCCGAAGCCCGCCAGCAGAGTCGAACGCTTCTTGAGTTGGGAGTGAGGATTAAAAGTAATAAACTATCACACAACACACATGGGATCTTTCAGAGAGGCTCCGGACTTGACCAGCCAACAGCCTGACTTTATTGCAGAGAGCTTTTAAGCCAGAGTAGAAACAGCTCAGAACAATGGGTTAAATTCACAAGGAGGTGAAGCAAGAGCTGTGATCTTGACAAGCTCTTCCACCTGCTGGCACAAACAGGAGATGGACCTGGAAATTTTTCCCTGACTTCAGTGAAGGCCTGGTAAAAGCAGTCTTTCCGCTGAGATTTAAATATCACAGCAGCTGCCAGAGCAATGGCTCCCCACAGTATCCCACCATTCTAGCATCTCCAACATCTTGATATCTCCAAGGCTACCCAGGCTTCACCTTCATAGCTCCACACAACGGCTTTTCTGTACCTCCAGGCAAGGGTACCCCCCCCCCCCCGACACACGCCTGGCCTTGGTGGCTTTTCTTAGTCGTGGAGGAAGATTCCATAACCCTTTCTTGTATCTTGATTCTAACGCCAGAACCACGTGGCTGAAGCTGCCGGGCTCTGCTGCCTGCTGGGGCTGGAATTCAAATACGCTTTCACCAGCTTTCCGTTTTCAGTGGTTTCCTTCACCACTGTCCTAGAACTCAGTCTGTAGACCAGGCTGGCCTTGAACTCAGAGATCAGCCTGTCTCTTTTTCCAGAGTGCTGAGTCACCACACCCAGCTCTAGGCTTTTCTTTAATGCCTTCTTGAAGGTTGGAAGCTTAGCTGGGTGGGGTCTTGCCCGATCATCACTCCCTTTATTCTGTTTAGCATCGAGTCTCTTTAAACTTGTATCTGCATTTTGTATTTCCCTTGCTCAGCTTGTTCCTTTCCACTGTGGATCTGCACAAACCTGGTCGTCACCCATGCCACAGGATCAGTACTAGGTTGGTTTGAAATCTCCTCTGCCAGCTCTGCTGATCCAAAACTCTCCAGTTCAGCTTTAGGCAGATCTTTTAGACAAAGGCAGAAAGCAGCCACAGCCTCCAGCAAAATACCACAAGAATGATGTCTAGGCTGCTTACTCACATTCTTCTCTGAAACCTCTTGAACCAGCCTCCACAGTTCAAAGTCACCCTCAGCACCATCGTCTTCCATGTTCTTACTAAGTTAGCTCATTAAGTCTCACTTACAGCATTCCTCTGCCTTCCTAATCCAAAGTCCACATTCCTCCAACAAAAGCACGATCAGGCCTGTCAGTGCAATGCCCCAGTCCTGGTACCAACGTCTGTCTTAGCGGGTGTTCTATTGCTGTGAAGTGACACCATGACCAGGGAACTCTTATAAAGGAAAACATTTAATTGGGGATGACTTACAGTTCAGAAGTTTCGTCCATTATCCGTCACGGTGGGAAGCATGGCGCCATGCAGGCAGATGTGCTGGAGAAGGAGCTGAGAGTTCTACATCCAGATCTGCAGGCAGCAGGGAGAGAGAGTGACACTGGGCATGGCTTGAGCACATGAGACCTCAAAGCCCACATCCACAGTGACACCTTGACACATTTCCTCCTAACAGTGCCATTCCTTCTAAGCTATGGGGACCGTTTTCCTTTAAGCCACCTCCCAGCCACCACACCTATAACCACTGATGTACTAGTAAATGTTTAGCAACTGCTTGTCTTGTGTTTGTAATGTGTGTGTGTGTGTGTGTAATATATATGTGTGTGTATCATGTGCAGCATACATAGAGATAGATGCGTGCACATGCAGAAGTTACGATAAATATCGCTGATGTGAAGAATGCTGTGATGCTCAGTTTTAATTGTCACCTTGACACAGTACAGAACCTTAATGGGGACTTGCCTAGATCAGGCTGGTCTGTGGGGGATTATTGTAATTATGTTATTTGACGTGGGAAGACTCTCCGTTCCCTGAGACTGGGTTCCTGAGCAGAATAAAGGAAGAGTTAGCTGGGCTCTAGGTGCATACGTTTGTTTATTGCTCTCTGCTCTCAGCTGCGCACCTCAAGTTCCCGCACCCTGACTTCCCCACAGGGCTGGAGATAACCAGGGATGGGAGCCAAGTAGACCCTTTCCAGACTACATCACCTTTGTCCGGTGTTTTACCCCAGTAACGGAAAGCAGAACCAAGGCAGATGGATAGTGTGTCACTTACAAGTAAAACAAAACACACAGTTCTCTTTACTGATAATCTCCATGTGTTTTAACTTGAACATAATTTCCTTCCATTCTTTGTGAAACCCTTTATCAGTTTATATAATTCTGCCATCAACAAAAGTTCTGCAAAGGGAGAGCATAGTAAATCCTGCAGTCCCGCTTGCCTGGATGATAAACGAGAGTTCACGTTAAGAAGCAGAAGGTGAGAGAAGGATTTTACTCACTTGTCCAGGACACACATTCCCTACTTGCTGGTTTGGGTTACAGCTCTCAGATACTGGATAAACGCATCCTGAATATCCATGCCATTCTCAAGGCAATGGCCTTAAACACACACATCAATTTTTTCTCTTTGTTTACTTGTTTTTATTTACAAACCTTTTTTTCATGCAATATATTTCAGCCATAGCCTTTCCCTGCCCCCAGCTCCTCTCAGATACTTCCCACTGCCCTACCCATCTACCTTCATGTTTTTCTCTCTCCAAAAACAAAACAAAATGAAACCAAACCAAACAAAAAGCCCACAAAAGGAAAAACAAACTAACAAAATCCAATAAGACAGAAACTGCCAAAACAAAACAAAAAGTGCACAAAAGTTCATGGAGTCCACTTTGTGTTGGCCACCGGCTCCTGGGAGTGGGGCCTGCCCTGGAGTGGTTTACTCAGTAACACTCTTTTGGAGAACAGGGTTTTCCCTTTCTCAGCAGTTCTAAGTTACAAGTGGCTTCTCGGTGGAGGCAGGCCATTGTGTCCCCTCCTCCTTCTTCATGCTGGGGTTTTGTATGGCTTGAACTTACCTAGGTCTTGTGTGTGCTGCTCTGTGTCCATATGTGGATCATTCTGTTGTGTCTGGGAACTACTGTTTCTCTGGAGTCCTCCCCGCCTCTTCCTTTTATAGTGTCTTCTGCATAGATTCCCCGACACTGGAGGGGAAGCTCTGAAAAAGATGTTTACAGCTAAATTCTTCCAGGTTACTTGGGCACATCGTTTGCAGGGCTCTGTTAGCTCCTGTCTGCGGCAAGCTTCTCTGCTGAGGACTGAGTGAGGCTCCGATGGGTAGAACACAGAGCCATCAGAAGTCGGTTCATCACTACGTTCCTTTAGCGTAACATAGTAGTAGGTTTCCTCCTAGGCCTCTGTCCCACGGCCTGTCTTGTCTCAGGTTCTCGACACTTCACAGGGTCAGGTGGGGGTTCCCCTGCTCTGCAATGTTCCTTCTACACTGATAATGTAGATGCCATCAACAGTGGGAGCACAGCAAACAGAAAAGTGTGCTATTGTCATCAAGAAGCAGTGAGCTTTGAGTAGTTACACAAATATGGACAACTATTATGCTTCTATTTTGAGAATACTCTTTCCTTTGGACAACAATTTTAATTAAAAGTGTGTGTGTGAGAGAGCGAGTGAGCGAGCGAGCATAGCTGTGTGTGTGCGTTTCATTGTTACATGGACAGACAACATTGCATCCCCAGATTCTTGGAATGTGCTGGTGTTAGAAGAGATACTCATTTGCCTCGTATAGAGCCTGCTGTTAAACATAAATGCTTGAGAAGGCTGGGAAGACCATGTCGTGCCTCAGGGTCTTTCCCGGTGTCAGCATGCTGCTCAGGAACCGAGGGGGTGGTTGAAGAAGCAGGGCCTTTCTGCCTGCTCTGCCGCTCCACGTGTGTCTCAGCAGAGGCTGAGAGCCCGTCTCCTGTTTCTAGAGTTACCGTGACGGCGATGTGCAACATGGACTTCAGCAGGTTTCCCCTGGACACGCAGACCTGCTCCCTGGAGATCGAGAGCTGTGAGTAGACGCAGCCTGCCACCAGCACTTCCAGGCCCTCTCAGCGGCAGGCAAACATCCTCTCAGGAGCTCTGCTCTGCCTTCCTGCCTTTCGCCTCCTGGCATGAGGCTCTCCCAGTGGCTGGGGTAACCTCTACCTACAGCCTGCTGGCTGAAAATGCTGGCCACCTCCATACAACACCTTCATAGATTAATGTCTGGTTGGAAACTGTGCCACAGTCCCACCCTTGAACGCGTGAGGTCTCCTGTCACACAGGCCAGGCTTGGAAGAACAGATTGCGTACACATGAGCAGATGTTTTTGGGTGTGGCCTCACCTGAGAGGAGCATGGTGGGCACACAGCAGCTCTGAGAGGGGGATGGCCACAGTCATGTCCACCCTATTTTGAGGAAATGGGTCCAAGCGGCCGGCACACAGGCTGCCTGAGAGTGAGTCATGACCTGTCCATCAGGAGGTGAATCGTTGCTCTTTGGAAGAGAAGAAAGAACCGACTGTGCCCTAGCATATAAAGCTGAATCGTTTGGCAAGCTGAGCTACCTCAGTTGCCAGCATTTAGCTACCTCCACCTACAAGCATCACTTTTATTTGGTTTAACCCAGCAATGGCAGCTGAATTGTGGGGAGAGGCTTTTCGAGGGACCATAAGCCTTTAAGCTTTGGAGCCCTGCTCTGATAACTTTTGAGAAACTCGGAAGAATTGAAGTTATCTCTTAGACTGCAGTTTGCTGTCTTACCAACTAGTCTTTGTGGGGCCGAGGACACAGAGGTCACACAACCCTGCAGGCAGGCCTGGCTTGCCTGTTGCCCCATGTCTGACACAGGCTGTCTTCTTTCTAGATGCCTACACAGAAGACGACCTCATGCTCTACTGGAAAAAAGGCAATGATTCCTTGAAGACAGACGAGAGGATCTCCCTGTCTCAGTTCCTCATTCAAGAATTCCACACTACCACCAAACTAGCCTTCTACAGCAGTACAGGTGAGCTCAGAGCCTGGGGCTTCTGCCAGGGGCTTCGTCCTGGCTAGACCTTCAGGATCTGTTTAGGGAGTGTGTAGTTTGGCTGTCACAGCAGGAGAGCAGAGCTTTGAAACAGAAGACCAGGGTCCCAAATGACTAGTGGGTGGTATGCAGCAGGTCCCCGTGACTTGTTTTGTTTGAGACAGGGTCTCACTCCATTATCCATGCTGCCCTGAACTCATTGTCCACTGTGTGCCAGGCTGGTGAACTCATTACACTGTGTAGCCAGGATGTTTGAGATGGTTGCCTTGTTAAATTGGTGCTGCGTTCCTGAAATGCCCACCAGAGCCCCTGGTTCTTAGCAACAAACAAGCCCCAATTCAGACTGCTGTTCTCCACCTCCCTGGCTGTGCCATTACTACCCAAGCTCCTCAGAATGACCACCCCCACCTCCCATCATCATATGGACCCAGCTGAGGCTTTAGGAGTCTCAGGTCTATTGCAGGCCTTGTCACCTCCTGTTGCCGGAGGCTGTGCTCTGGGCCTTTCCCTAGCTATAGGCCTATGCTGTAGACAGGTAAGGGTTAACACTCTCCAGCCCTTGCTTCTGTTTTGACCAGTCACCTTACAGAATGTTTTGCACTTTCTCCTGCGGGACTTCCACCTTGGAAGCACATCCTGGCCTTTCTAATCTGTTAGCATCAACATTAGTGTGGCAGTTCAGCTCTCCTCAGTTCATTCAGCCTTTACGCTTTGAGTCGGTCTTCTGCAAGTCACTCTGCCACCCACTGAGGATGCCAGGTCCTGAGTTATAGCTGTCAAGTCCCCACTTCGCAGTCCTGGGCACGCCCTTCCCACCATCCTTACACGTTCCTTTTCATGAAAAACACAAAAGCACAGTAAAGCATAATGGGTTGGTGATTGTTACTCTACGCCTAGATAAAATACTGACCTTATGCCTCAAAACACGTTTATTCCCACAAAGAAATCCAGAAAGGGGCCAGGCATGAGGGTGGTCACCACCAGCCCAGCTCTTGTAAGGTGGAGGCAGGAAGATCAGGAGTTCGAGACCATTCTCGGTTTTACAATGAGTTTGTGGCTGGTCTGGGCAATTTAAAACCCTGTCTCAAAAGGAAAGAAAAAAGGGCAGCTGTTCAAGAAAGAGTCAGCTCCAGTGGGTCTGGGTTGTGACTTAGGAGTGTAAAGGGAGAGGGGGAGAAAGGGAGGAGAGACAGAGCAGCGGGAGGAGATCTAGCTCAGGACCTTGTGCATGCTGGTCTAGAACTGTCCCCATGAACACTGTCCCCACTCCAACATCTGAACTTCTAAGAAGCACAGTGAGGCTGATGGGCACTGGACCATATTTTGGGAAAGAAGACTATAACTGACTTTCTCAGGGTCGCCTTTGTGTTTGTGAAGGGGACAAAGATTCCTTGTGGTGGGTTCATACAACAGTGAGGGGCAGCCTGTCACTGCCACTGCTTGGTTTTGGTTTGTTTGTTTTTTCCCTCTCCCTCTAGAGGTATGGTTCCAATGGGAGGTCTGTTGTTTCTGAATGAGCTGCTATGCTACATACTCTCTCTTCCTCCTTCCTCCTCAGGCTGGTACAACCGTCTTTACATTAACTTCACTTTGCGTCGTCACATCTTCTTCTTCTTGCTCCAAACCTATTTTCCTGCCACCCTCATGGTCATGCTGTCCTGGGTGTCCTTCTGGATCGACCGCAGAGCTGTGCCTGCCAGAGTCCCCTTAGGTAAGGACTGTCTCAAGGGTATATTACAGGTCATTCTTTCCATCTTTCTCAAGCTGGTCCTCCACTCCTCTTCAGAGCTTGACTTGGAAATGCTTCAAGGTACTGATTCAAGTAGCATCTCACAATCTAGTGCCTGCCACCTGGAAATCTGCCCAGGCCACCATGGTTGTAGTCCTCTGAGAGCCCTGTTCTCAGGAGAGGGGTCCCAATCTTTGGGTGATTTCCCTGCTGGTCTGTATAATGTATTCTGTAACAGTGTTTCTCAAAGGGCACCCTGTGGTCTTTGCAATAGAATCCTTGTGTGTGTGTGTGTGTGTGTGGGGGGGGTTGTTAAAAACGGAAAGTCCGCAGAGTCAGAATCCCTATGTAAGGAGCTGCATTTTGTTGTTTCATTTGCTTTTTGGAGATAAAGTTTCCCTGTGTGTCTGGCTATTCTGGAACTCGCTCTGTAGACCAGGCTGGCCTCAAACTTGGAGGTCAGCCTGCTTCTGCCCCCCAAGTGCTGGGATTAAAGGTGTGTGCCACCACTGCCCAGCCAGGACCTGCTTTTTTAATGCACCCCTTCCCCCTTCACTTCCTTTCTCAGCACATCAACTCTCCTTAAGCATTGAGCCCACTTAGTCACAGACACCACTGCTGCTCAGACAGCTCAGGCTGCAAGTGACAGGGTGACCCACCAGGCTTCAATGAAATGGCTTGGGGTTGGCCCTTGGGATGACCCTAATCCTCTGTGATTTGATGTTCTGAGCTTAATTTGAAATCCTGGGCAATTTCCTCCAGACAGATGCCCTGCTCTCCAGCAGTGAGCTGTCACTCCAACAGCTACTGTGCTAAAGGCATGTGTGCTTTCATGTTAAAATCTGTCTCCTACAAATAAAATGATCCTGGTGGAACTGTTGTCAAGGTGCTCAAGATACTTCTGCTGGACGGGCACCCAGGTCCAGCATGGGGCGAGGAGACAGCGCAGGACTGTAGGAATTTTATGACACAGAGGACACAGTGTTGAAATAAACCTCATGCTTTCCGTCACCACTGATGGCCTACATCTGTATGTCCTTTCTTTAAACAACTGAAAGAAATGCCTTCCTGCTGAAATGTCTGGAGCTTTCTGCAGGGAAGGTGTGATTTAGTGTTGTAATGGATCTGCCAGCCATACAGAGGAGGATGGGGGTCGAGGGGCACAGGAGCAGGAAGAGATCTGAAATAGCTAGCTCTAGAAGGGCACAGGCACTGGCCTTCTAGGCCAAGGGAGAATGAGAGGCAGAGCCCCAGAAAGACAGGAAGTATATGTTTATTTCTCACCGTTTATGGCAGGCATCACCACGGTGCTGACCATGTCCACCATCATCACGGGCGTGAACGCCTCCATGCCCCGAGTGTCCTACATCAAAGCTGTGGACATCTACCTCTGGGTCAGCTTCGTGTTCGTGTTCCTCTCGGTGCTGGAGTACGCGGCTGTCAACTACCTGACCACAGTGCAGGAGCGGAAGGAACGGAAGCTACGGGAGAAGGTGACTAAACCGCGACATAGACCAGGCTATCCTGGGGACTGTGGGCAGGGCCAGTCCTCCCTGTAAAGCACGGATGTGACACCCTCTCCTCAGCTACTTCCAGCCAGGAGCAAATGGCATGATGTATGCTCTAATATTTGACATTTCCATCTTCCGCTCAGTGGAGAAATTCATTCAGCATCTACATCCCAGCAGTCACTAAACCAAATTAAGACATCATCTATTTAATTGAGGTTGTGATCAGAGTTTAGTGCAGTGGTTCTCAATGTGTGGGTCACGACCCCTCAGGAGGGGTGAATGACCTTTCACAGGGGTCACCTAAGACCATCCTACAAATCAGATATTTACATTATGATTTATAACAGTAGCAAAATCACAGTTATGAGGTAGCAACAAAATAATTTTACAGTTGGGGTCACCACAACATGAGGAACTGTATTATAGACAAAAGTTCAGCATTACGAAGATTAAGCACCACTAGTTTAATGAGAAAATCCCAGGTGGGAAAGAAATGATAAGTTAACATTGTACAACATATTATTATTATTTTTTTTGTAGAACATATTATTAACAAATGTCTAGAGATGGGATACAAAGTGAATCAATTGTAAGAAATAACAATAATAATTGACATTGAGATAAAGAAAGTAAAGCAATAAAAAGGCCACGGAGGTGGTCTGTAGAGCCCTCAGGGACAGCCACGGTCTTGCAGGAGACTTCCCTTCACACAGGTCCTTCTTTCTCCCATCATTTCTTAAATATCTTTCCTCCCAGCCTGCAACTCAGAGCCTCTCTCTTCCCGCAACCCTCACCACATACTGTTCCCACAGCGCTGTCTTTTGATCCCCGCCCTCATGACTGACCCTGAATAATGTCATCTGAACACGTTCTCTGTCAAGGGTCTGATGCCAGGTGCGGTGTCGACAACCTGTAATCCAGCTCCTCAGAGGGCCGAGGCGGGAGGTCACATGTAGGAGGCTGGCCTGGTTAACTTGCAAGACTGTCTGAAGATGAAAAGTGGAGAAAGATGTAGGTCAGAAGAGCACTCTTGTCTAACGTATGCAAGGCCCTGGGTTTGTCCCCACTGTCCCCAAAGGAAGCGTGGATTGAGCTCAGGGCTTATGCCATCACTGGAGGGCAGGGCTAGCCAGCGCTAGTCTTGTTAGTCTCTGGCACAGCAGAGTGTCCTTTCTTGCAAGTCAACATGCAGACATATCAGTTCAGCACCCTGTTCCCAGCAACACCATGCTGAGGCTTGAACCCTGACCTTGGGGCTGCTGGGTGAATGCCCTGACTGACAGCTGGCTTGGGATGTTTTTGAGTGACACCACCATCATTCTTCTTATCCTTCACCCAAAACCGAGACTAAAAGAGGCTGGAGGTGACATGGAGCTTTTGCAGGCTTCTGAGGGACGGTACTCAGCCCACACGCCTCTGTGTTCACAGATCTCCTGCTCCTGTGGGCTGCCCCAGCCCCGAGCCGTGATGCTGGACGGCAGCTACAGTGACGGGGAGGTGAACGACCTGGGCGGCTACATCCCTGAGAACGGAGAGAAGCCCGACAAGATGATGGTGCAGCTGACGCTGGCCTCCGAGAGGGGCTCTCCCCAGAGGAAAAGCCAGAGAGGCAGTTATGTGAGCATGAGGATCAATACCCACGCCATTGACAAGTACTCCAGGATCATCTTCCCAGCCGCTTACATTTTATTCAATCTGATATACTGGTCCATTTTCTCTTAGATGCCAGTAAGTTGGCACCTCTCACACTTTTCATGGTTTGTGCGCAGTACAGAAATTGCTGTAAAATGAAACTTACGGTTTAAAACCATCTCAGCACCTACCTGGGTTTTCACTGTCCCGTTGTCAGCTGTCCAAAGCTGTGCTGACAGCACACCTTATTTTCTTTTTGCATTTATTAAGCATCAGTTGTATACACAGCAATACACTAGGTGTTCAGGAATTTGTCATGATAGCAACTGACATTAGGTGTTCCTGGATGCCAGGGGCACAGTGGTCAGATATGGGCACAGTGCTATTCAGCCAGGGACCTGGATGCTGTGCACCCCAGGGCTTTATTCTGGGAGGCTCTGTGTTCTGTTGACTAGGGAGACTGGGTAGCACCTACACAAGACCCATCTGCATGGAGGCCACATGCACATACACCCCTTCTGAGGAAAGGCCGTGCCTCTGTCCCTGCCTCTGCCCTGCATCCCCCATGGTCATTGAAAGGAGGTGATGCTCATAGGATCTCTTTGTACAAGCTGTAGGTTTCTCCCTGTATAAGAAATGTTCTTCAGGTTGTTGACGCTTCTATGTACCCATTGCCATATGTGTGCATCTTGTCTGTTTAGCGGAGGTGACTAAGCTAGAGAAACATGTCCTTTTCCCTGCTTTCAAGTCACTGTTTCATGCCTCTCTACCACAGAGCAGGTGTTTTCTTTCTTTTTTTTTAAAGTCTTTTCTCAGTAGCATGGTATTATCACTGAGGAGCTTGAAGAGGTACTTTTTCCTGAATAATCAGCATTTCAAGGAAACTTGGGGCTGCTTCTAGCTCATGAGATGAACACAATTTCTTAAGAGAAAATAACCTTAAAAAGCAAAAGAAGTAGACACCTGCATTTCCATTCAGTGAGTGCCAGCACTGTCTAGGAACTACCAAGTAGTTCTCATCTAGACAAAGCATCCCATAGACCAGAGAAGTTGGCCCAGTGGCAACTGATAGGAGTCGTGGGTTGTAATCTGATGTATTACTTTGAAACAGAAGCCTTCATATTATCTATCGAGAAGATAACCCTAACCAAACTTGCCCCAACAGTAGTTAGCAGGACGGCATTTTTCTCTAGGCTACATCTTTCACTCAGAGAAACATCTATTCAGCATCTACCAAATCCTAGTGGCCATGAAGCCAACCTAACCAAGCCACGGCCCATTTAATTGTGACTGTGTTCAGAATTTAGTGAGGGAATTCCAGGAGACACATAAACGGTAATTTAACATTCTGGAACTTATTGTTAATAAACATGGAGGTAATCTAAGAGACCCCTCCAGAGGCAACCATCCTCCGCTCTATGAAACTTCCATATATATCTCCCATCATTTCAAAGTTAACCTGATGGACCAACACAAAATAATAGCATATACATGGCTATTCTTTATTCTGATTTTAAAAAGAACTATTTGTCAATTCCTACTTAGAAGGCAATCTCTCATTTCCCCCAATAAAAAGGTCATCAAAAGCTTTTTTTCAAACTCAAGGGGTAAACTTAGAGGGATAAATTAAATAATTAATTATCGTTGATATTCAAAATGACTATTCGTTTTGCCAAGCATGGCTTGCACATGCAGTAAAGTGGGGGATCTGGAGCTCAAAGCCGGTCTTGGCTTTATAGCCCAAGAGGCCAGCCTGGGCTATGTGAGGCTTAAAAAGATTGATTTTCCATTTTTACTTTATGAAGCAATTACCATTAAAATTAACACCTTTGCCACTGTCTTCTTCCTCACCACCAGGGTCACTGAGCTGTCTAGGTTTCCAGAGCAGGCAACTAAAGCCCTACTTGCTATTTGGGATACTCCTTACATGAGCCAGTGCGTAGAATACTCTGCTGGTCTGCCAACCTGGTATCTCAAAGAAGACTGGATAGCTTAATCAACAGACAGTTATTTTCTCAGAGTTCTAGAGACTGGTCAAGGTCAAGGTGCTGGCAGATGTGGTTTCCCATAGAGGCCTCTCTTCCTGACTTCCCAGTGGCCACCTTCTGCTGCTTCCTTGCCTTCTTTCCTCTGTATCCACCCGTGTCTAGATCCCTTTCTCCCTAGTTATATTGGATCAGGGCCCACATCCATGGCCTCATTTAACCTTTGTTACTTCTTTAAAAGCCTTGTCTCCAAACCATTAGTTTTGTAGCAATATCCTCCAAGTTGGAATACTTCATCTTAGAGGGAAGCTCCTTAGGATTTAGGATATGCTAAAAGAAGGCAATGACCTTCATCCCATAGGGAAGAAACCCATTCAGGTTAAGCTCAGGAAGCAAACGACTCAAAAGTTTCAGGAAGTCCCTGAAACCAACTAGATGAACTACCACACTCCACCAAGTGTATTTAAGCAATAAATGCTGAGATTCACTTTTCGGTAATCCAAGCTGTCTGGAAGAGGCAAAGACCAGCCAAGCTGCTTGAAAGGGACAGTTTCCAGCCTGTCCAGCTGTCTGCAAGTCATGCAAGTGAGCTTCAGATTTCCACCTGTTGTGAGCTGGAGTGGGTCTTCGAGTCATTGCTTCTCTAAATAACCCCAATAAAGCTCATTGATTCACAAAGTTGGACTTTGGTGGTATCTGTACTTTGGTCTGTCATTGGTTTCCTGTCTGGTTGAGTGCTCATATGTTCACCTATGCACAGGAACACTGACACACACACCACCATCATGTGCTTCCCATAACATACGCCAGCTGAAATCGATTTGTACCACACCGCGTCTAATAGTTATACTCAGGATATTCAGGTAGTAGTTACATTTAGGGAATGACAAGAAAACAAACCTGGGTACTAGAGAGATGGCTCAGTGGGTAAGAGCACTGCTTCTCAAATCTGAGGAATTGGGTTGAAATCATCAGCACCCATCCAGAAAGCTGTGTGTGGACATGTGCTGGGTCTTGAGGTAGATATTGATTCCCAATTTTCTAAGGAACCTCCATATTAATTTCCACAGTGGCTGTACAGGTTTGTACTTTCACCAACAATAGATAAGTGTTCCCCTTATTCCGCATCTTCAACAGCATGTGCTGTCCCTTGTGTTATTTATCTTAACTATTCTGACAAGTACAGATGGAATCTCAATGTAGTTTTGATTTGTATTTCCCTGATAGTGAAGGATGTTGAACATTTCTTTAAGTTTCTCAGCCATTTGAGATTGCTCTGTTGAGCAGATTTCTCTGCTTAGATCCGTACTCCTTTTTTTTTTTTTAAGATTTTTTTTAAAGATTATTTGGTTTTCTGATATCTAGTTTCTTCAGTTCTTTATATACTTTGGATATTAGATATTAGCTCTCTATCAGATGTGGAGTTGGTAAAAATCTTTTCCCATTCTGGAGGCTGCCACGCTGTCCAAATTTCAGTGTCCTTTGCCTTACAGAAGCTTTTCATTTTCATGAGGTCCCATTTATTAATTGTTTTTTTTTTTTTTTTTTTTTTTTGAGACAGGGTTTCTCTGTATAGACTAAACTGGACTCAAACTCAGAGATCCATCTTCCTCTGCCTCTGGAGTGATGGGACTAAAGGCGTGTGTGCCACCACTACTCGTGTAATTGTCGTTCTTAGTGCCGGCACTATCAGTGTTCAGTTCAGAAAGTCTCCTGTGCCAATGTAGCCAAGGCAATTTCCCACCTTCTGTTCTATCAGACTTTGTGTATCTGGTTTATGTTGAGGTTTTTGATCCATTTGGACTTCAGTTTGAAAATCTATTTCATTTTTTCTACATGCAGACATCCAATCATACCACTACCATTTGTTGAAGGGTTTCTCTTTCTTTCTTTCTTTCTTTCTTTCTTTCTTTCTTTCTTTCTTTCTTTCTTTCTTTCTTTCTTTCTTGTTTCTTTATAAAAAAAATCAGGTATCCATAGGTGTGTGGATTTATGTCTGGGTCTTCAGTTTGATTTCATTAATCAACATGTCTGTTTTTATTTTTTATGCCAATACCATGCTGGTTTTTATTACTATAGTTCTGTAGTTCTTTTTATTTTTTCAGGATTGGTTTAGCTTTGCTGGGTTTCTATTTTTCTCTATGAAGCTGAGAATTGTCCTTTCAAGGTCTGTGAATAATTTTGTTGGAATTTTGATGGAGACTACAACGAATCTGTTAGACTGCCTTTGTTAGCATGGTCATTTTTGCTATATTAATTCTACTGATCCATGAGCATAGGAGAGCTTTTCATCTTTTGATATCTTCTTCAATTTCTTTCTTTAAAGACTCAAAGTTAATATCACACATGCCTTTCACTGGCTTGGTTAGAGTTACCCTAAGCTATTTTGTATTATTTGATGGCATTGTGAAATGTGTTGTTTCCCTGATTTCTTTCTCAGTTCATTTGTCATTTGTATATAGGAGGGCTATTGGGTTTTGTGAATTAATTTTGTATTCTGCTATTTTGCTGAAATGTACGAGTTCCCTGGAAGAACTATTAGGGTCACATATGTATGCCATCATATACATTATCTGTAAATAAAGATACTTCGCCTTTTTCCTTTCCAATCTGTAGCCCTTGATCTCCTTCAGTTGTCTTATTGCTCCAGCTAAGAAATCAGTACCATATTGAATGGGTATAGAGAAAATCGACAATCTTGCTTTGTTCCTGATTTAAGTGGAAGTGCTTTGAGTTTCTCTCAAAGTTGATGTTGGCTATGGGCTTTCTGTAAAATACCTTCAGTCATGTCCCTTTTATGCTTTCTAGGACTTTTATCATAAAAGGTGTGAATTTTGTCAAAGGTCTTTTCTGCATCTCATGAGATGATCGTGAGGGTTTTTTCTTTTG